ACGTACGTACATACATACATACATACATACACATACACACATACACTTACACACATACACATACACAGACACATACGTACACATAGATACACATACATACACGTACATACACATACATATACATACACATACATACACATACATACACATACATACACATACATATACATACATATACATACATATACATATACATACATATACATACATACATATACATATACATATACATATACATACATATACATACACATACATACACATACATAGACATACATACATGCATGCATGCATACATACATGCATACATACATACATACATACATAGATACATACATGTCGAATCCCGACTTGATGATCAAATCATCCGTTCTTGTTGGGTTAACTGTTTGGTCTTTGGTACCCCACCCAAAAAGGGGTGACTTTTGCTCCTAGCGGCGGTCAATGGGTGTTCTCGCTTGGGGGGTCATTTGTTGTCGGTTATTGTCGGTCATTTTTCGTTGCTTCAACCATTTACGACCACTTTAAACCACTGTTTTTGTTGGTGAGCTCAAATGATTTTTCACAAAACCCAGAGTATCATTTCAGTGAGTCCAATTTTTCATGGTGAAATCATTGCAAAACCCAACTTTTGTTGCTTAAGTCTGCATTGTTGATGGTTAAATCCACACTCTTGTTGCTGCAATCACCATTTTTCATGGTTAAATCCCCTATGTTTGGTTGGTTTAAAAAATCCCCAGGTACTCCAACCTGGCCACTTATTTGGCGCAGCGCGAACGGCGACACAACCGGCAGGCTCCATATATATAATATGAGATATGGTTATCCGATATGTTATATAGATAGATAGATAGATAGCTAGCTAGATAGATAGATAGATAGACAGACAGACAGACAGATAGATAGATAGATATGTATGTATTTCTAAGTCTAAATTTGGAAAATGAACTTTGAACAGATGGTGATTTACCCGACTAAAAGGGGAGATTTATGGTAATTGCGCCAAGAAGAATCGAGAGTTAAGACAAAAACACATGGGGATACTGGGGCTTGAACTTGTGTAAAAGATCAATTCCAAACAGCAGAATATGATATGGTGTGTCCAAAATGGTACCGTACCTGAAGGTTGGGGATCTCAGCCATTCGGTGGAACTCCCCACATCCACCATGGGTTTCTCGGGAGTGTTTAATATGAACATATGAACGGGGGATGTTTTCTTTTTTTTCTGAGTTCACATAACTATTCAAAATGATCCTTTTTATAGTGGATTTTCCTATCATAAACGGTGATTTTCCATCCTAATCCCCACATGTATACATATATATATACATTATATATATATATATATATCCAAAATATACATATATGATATACATATAATATATGATATACATAATATATATATACATACATATATACATATATACATACATATATATATACATATATATATAATACATACCACAATCACCCATCCACACCATGTGGAGGGTATCATAGTTGATTCTTCAAGCTTCCCAATGAGTCGGCAGGACACGCCAGATTGCGCTGCCCAGATCATCGCCACGGTGGGTGGCATCAGCAGACAGGTCCTGAGACCTGGGGGTCGGAGACCAACGGTGTAACGTAGCCATTTCCCGGGAAAACCCATCATTGATGGCTTTTAAATGGAGGTTTATGGCTGGGAAAATCATCAATGATTGTAAATGGTGGATTTTCTGATGTCAAATATTCGGATATATCCTCATGGCCTGTTTTGATCCAGGTTTGGTGCTTGTTTTTTTTTCCATTTTTTTCCCCCGAAAACTCCTCGAAAAGATGTTCCTTACGTTTGTCATACCCCAATGCTCGTGGGTTATACATTAGATATCTCCCAGATGTTCATTTCCTACATCCGATCTTTCAATGCTTGCAGTGAACCCAACCTATAATTTATGGGTGAAATCAGCGGTATTCTTGGCTTGAACCCCACTTCTTCGGAGTTTTTCTACCTCTTCAAAATAGTTTCTTTCTCAGAAAAGCGGGTACAGTTTACAAAAAACATCCAGGTCATCCAGTTGGAGTCATGATGGATATGTCGTTGGATGGGTGAAATTGAACCAATTTATAACTGGGAGCCTTCCAAGTCATCCAGTTCACCATGGCTGACTGGGGGATCCCATGGATCCCGCGCAGGTCCTGGGGTCTCCTGCCTTGGTTCGCTCGGCCTTCACCGATCCCATCGAAGAACTCAGGTGGATAATCGGAGATGATGAAACAATCATTGGATGATTAGGATGTTTTTGGGGGTGATACTTGGGATTTATTGGGATTTATGGGGAGAATCATTGGGATTTATAGGGATAGTCATTGGGATTTGTTGGATAATGATTGAGATTTTTAGGGATACCATTCGGATACCATTGGGATAAGAATTGGGAGTACCCTCCGGTGTCATCAAACGTGGCAGTTGAATCTCCACCATTATTTTGTTCCATGATTTTCCCAGCTCTGAAGCTCCATTTAGTTCGGGGGTTTCCCAGCAAGCCGCGTTAGATTACTGGAGGCTATGTTGGTAAAATCCGAACATCCCATGCCATTTGGTGATTTAGAATCTAGAAATTCATTTTCCCTAGTCTTTCACGGCCCAAAAAATGGGGTATACCCCATTTTCGGACCAAGCCATGTGGATCTGAGGAGCAGAGCTTGGTGTCTGTGGGGATGCAAAATGGCTGAGATAACTCCACAATGTACACTGAAACGCTCCGTTCACCTTCTCGTAATTTTGTTACATAGCTATGGAAAATGGATGAACATGATCCATTTACAGAAGATTGGCTATTGAACATGGTGATTTTCAACAGTTAACCGTTAAATTACCAGCGGGCAAGAGATTTTGTTGGGCCCAACATGCTCCATTTGTTCCATGTTCCCCAGGAAATTGCCAATTTAGCTCGCAAATCCCCGAGTTCTGTTGCTGACATCTCTGTTCTTTATATGCTGGTGAAGATCACCTCACTCCCCCATTTGAGGCCGCCATAGCCTGGAGTTGAAAACCCCAGGCATCCATAACTTGAGAGGTAATCTCATAGCTGGGTGAACAGGCTAGTTGTTAAGTGCGATGAGGCAATGATCCTTGGTTTGTCCATATTTGATGGTGAACTCAACTCCCACAACTTTGTTGGTGGCTCGGGCTGAAAACGCGCGTTTTTCTGAACGCAATTCCCATCGGCACGGCGTGTTTGCGTGCAGTTTTCCCCACGTACGTCAGTGTTTCAGGTGGGGTGGGGTGGGGTGGGAGGGGTTGGCACTTGCTCTCACGTGATGCTTCGCTACGTTGATGCTACGTGACGTTGATCGGGGTGGTACGTCGCGGAGGTGATGTTCCACGAAAAACGTCGAGGGATTTGGGGTAGTACGTCTCATATTAACTTGTTTCTTGGATGAAGAAGCCTGGTTTTAAACAAGATGAAGTTCTTTGACCTGGGCAAAAACCATTCCTGGCTGCCCTGATGCAGAAAAAACGGAAGATCAGGCCATGACCTGCTCGTCGTGCTTGACTTGTCACTTCAAACAAAGCTCCTTTTCTTCTAAATCAGATACATTTGTTGGTTGAACCCCCCCGCTTTGAATGGTTCACTCGCCATCGGTTGCGTTTGCCATGGCAGGAAGGCGCGTGAACGGAATGAGAAGTTTGCCACTGCGGAGATTTCCGCCCCGGGGCCCTGGAAATGAAGCAGCAAAAATGGGGCGAGCCATCAACAAAAAGGAAATTCACCCAACAGAGGCGATTATGGGATGTAATTGGTGTTTCTGTAATGGGATAACAATGGGATACCATCTGGCAATCAAAATGGCTGGCTGGAAACTCACCATTCAGTTCGATATTTTTCCCTATCTATAAACCTCCTTTTCCCTTGCCACGTTTGATTACCGGAGGGTATTCACCCAACAAACTTGGTTTTGAATGATCATTGATGTAAATTGATGCAAATTGATGTAAATGGGAGGTAATACCCAACTTAAATGTTTATTGCCAATGTTTTTGGTGTACGTGAGTATCATCCCAATATAACCGTACATTACACATCATTTTATGTTGGAAGATAAGTCAAATTTCTCATCTCTGGAGGATGCAATGAACAAAAGGACCAGCGACAAGAGACACTCGGGCACCCAAGTGTTTGACACAAGGATGATTCAACACCTTTCATCTCAATTCAATTTGGATCGGCAAACTGGGATGGAAGCTCATCAATCCCCCTTCGTTTTTGTTTTTTTTAACCTTCGAGTTTTCTCGCTCATTTCTCCATTGGGTGCTTATCTCATGATATCGACGGTAATTTAATCCAGTTGGGTTAATATCATGATATACCATGGGTATACAATTGATATAGATGGTTAATATCATTAACATAGTTGGGTTGATATCATGAAATATAGAAAATGGTCCATTTAGTTCGATAAGATCCTAGGTACGTCCCATATTTTTCCACCATTTCTCTAGATCCCCGTTAATTAAGACCCTAGTGAATCACGACTGTTTTCAGCATTTTTCAATGGTTTACCGATCAAAAATGGTGATTTCCATAGCAAGCCGTTAAATTACCAGAGGGTATATCCCCACCACCATGATGATTATCATTGTATATCATTGTCATTATCTTCATCCCTATTTATATATATATATATATTGTATTGTTCTATTATTCCATACCTCACGGAACTCCAGAACGTTTCCACGTTATTCATCATTATTCCATTGAGACTTCAGACAACTCCAGAATGAGAACGATACTACGATACTATTTGACTCCTGAATGATCATTGTTGATATATTCATTCGAAATTTCTAGATATTATTATCCAAGATTATTGTGAATTGTAGAATGTATCCATCATTGATAGAATCATAAGATATCCATCGATGATATCCACTGTATTTGTATGATATTTGTATCATTTTGTATCCATCTGGTGGTGATTTTTAATGATGAATCCTTAGATCCTCCGCTCCGAGGTGGCCGGTGAGGCGCTTTGCAGTGGCTATGCCGCCTTCAACGGTGAGGCCATGGACGGAAGTGCTCGTGGTTGCGGAAAGGTCGAATTGAGATGGGTTTATAGGAGGGGTTAGAGGGATTTTATGTGGCTTTATAGAGTTTTGTTTGCCGCTTTCTATGGTTTTATGTGGTTTGTCGGGAAAAGAATGGGATACTTATGGGATAATGGGAATATATCCGCAAATCCCAATTATTATCCCATTATTTAGTTATAATTATCCCAAGAATTATAGAATTCATGTTATAATAGTTGAGATTTAATGGGAATATCTCCCCAAATCCCAAAAAGATGTCCCAAGTTGAGGCTGGTAAATCCACCATGGACAATCCACCATGGATTTTCCCAGCTATAAACCTCCATTGAAAAAGGGCATCAATTCCGAAATTCCAAGTGGACATGCTAAATGGATGTTTATTGAGTCGTTTATAGCTGGGAAAATCATGGAAAATCATCGAAATAAATGCTGGGGTAGCTGGAATTTTGGGGTGTACCTTATTTGTGGGACAAGGCCAAATCTTTTGGTAAATTATGTCTCGAAATAGTGTTAATAGCATGGGAGGCAGGAACAGCAATATGGTATTTGGGTGTGTCTGAAAGTGGACATACCCATATACTGGCAGTTTTAATCAGGAACATAATGATAAAACATGTTTTGTTTGGGTACAATATTTTCAGCACAAACCCAAAGGTATCACATGCCCAGCAACGATCGGATCTGGGTTTGTCCAATAATGGGCTACACCGAATGGGGGGATTACTGGGGATTGAGTGTAGCACTAAGTGATAATTGGGTTTGCGTTCTGCAACGGTAGCTATACAACTATACATACACAAATCCATAGATCCGTGATGATCCATATATATATATATATACATATATATATACACATATATGATATATAGACAGCTATAACTATAGCTATAATTATAGCTATAGATATAGCTATAGATATAGCTATAGGTATCATCAATATTTCTTATCTTAGTACACATATCTAGACCCAGCTTCGGCTACCAGAGGTGATCCGTACGGGTCCCAGCTTGGAACGCGCCCTGCCGGTGGTGGCTCTGGGTGGTGCAGAGGTGCGATCCTTCGATTTCTTCCGTGGAGGTGGTTAGGAAATGGGGGTTATTTACTAGGTATAACTATATGGTATATAAGGTACTATATGAACTATATGGTTAACTATAGGAACTAATTTACTTGGAACTATATGGAAAATAGAAGTATAACTACGTATAGGAGCTATATGGTTAACTATAGGAACTCTATGGTTACGGATACGGTTATGGATAACTATAGGAACTATATGGTTGACTAAAAGGTATAATTTGGAACTATAATTTACTTGGGATAAATATGGCTATGGATCAATAACTATAAATAGCATTTTTAGGTGGATGAACATCTATTTACCAGCTATTTAGATGTTTACCAGGGGTACAAAGTTTTGACCCATCCCTATATAGGAACTATAGGAACTATAGGATTTCCCCAGTTACGAAAACTTAACCCATCTTTCCTAAGTGAAATAAGTGAAACTAATCGGAAATAATTTGGATAAACTTACTATTGCAGCGTTCCGGTGTTCTGCCAGTCAGCCACTTACTATTTCACTTTCTTGTGAACCACTTACTAAGTGGGATGATGATATTCCAAGTGAAACTCCTGGGATACACATAATATATATATATATGTATGTATATATATATATATATGTATATATATATGTATATATATATATATATGTATATATATATATATATAATGGGAATATGATGAGGATATGCTATGTATATGTATACATGTATAGAATTGATATAAGGGACATGATCAACAACCATACCCACAACCAACATGACGAGGTTTTTTTTGACGCGATTGGTGTGTCGTGGGGATGTAAAAATCACACTGTCCGTTCAACGAACATGACGAGGTTTTGCCATGAGTTGTGGGTTGGGGACGATTGTTTATTCCTCTGAAACCAGTGGATTCTCAGGTCTATGTATGGTGCCCTCTGGTAAACTAACAGTTTGCTATGGAAAATCACCATCTTTAATAGGTAAATCAACTATAAATGGGCCATTTTCAATAGCTATGTTGAATTACCAGAGAGTAGCTCTTGGTAAATTAATGTAACATTTACTGTAAGGATGGGCTGATAGTGGGGATATCAGCAATCAACCAGCAAAGATATATCTGGGTGTTTGAAAACGGAGTATGCCCCAAATTTATGGCAGATGTTGAAATCATGCTATTTTGCATCAAACAAGCGCAGTGCCCTATTTTCTGACAAAACCATCTTCCACTGATGGTCTCACCCAGTCACTGGTTGATCAATTCAGGGGTCATCCCCCTTCAAAGGGAGTGACCAAATGGAGTGACCAAATGGTACCACATCGACCCCTTTGCTTTTTCCCCTAGATCCCTCTTGTTGCCGTTCATTTAATACCTGAACATTGTTCAGAACAGTGGAGCTGCGTTCTGTCCTGTTTTCAGGTGCAACGTGATGGCAAGACCTTGACGGTGCAGCCAAAACAGGTACAGGAACAGCATAGATTTCCTTTCTCTCGGCTGGGTATAGCCATGTAAAGGGGGATCACCCGCACATAAATGATGAGGGCATCACCATATTTCCTGCGGGATCACCTGGAAAGTCTTTGTCAAACCTTGTTCGTCATGAAAGTCAGCCTTGGGAGCTGCAAAGTAACAATTGGTCAAATTTTAAGAGCTGTTGGGAATTTTCATTTTGGCCGTTTCAGCATTACCCATCCATTTCTTGTGGCATAATATATGCATATACTGTATATATATATTTATGGTATATATATATATATATATGCACATACATAAATACTGTATACATATATATATATATATTTCATAGAATGTTCTGGTTTATAGTATGCACTATCACATTTTTAGCACAGAAACTTGACCCACAAGGCCAACAGTGCCAACGGGGCCAACGGGGAAGGGATGGGACCGCCACAGACTCCCACTTTGCTGCTTCAGCTGCCGAACGAAAAGGAGGCGCGGGCGGTGGTTGATGATTTTTTCCGAAGGTCTCGGATTTGCAACCAACATTGGGTATAGATGCGGAATGTAGGGATAGAAGGTAAGAGTGGATACCGCTGGCAGGACCGCTGGAATCACTTGAGAAGAAAGACATTTCTGGTTACTAACGGCTAATATCAAATAAATAAAAAACATATGTCATGACCACTGCAAGGAATTTCAGTATGGGAACTGTCTTCATTTCCTGCGATACAATGGCTTACCCATTTTACATCATTTGGCCAGGAAATTGGAGGTGCTCCCCTGAAAAATTGGGAACGCCCCCAATTTGTCAAAAGAAAACTTGTGTAGGACATCCATCATCTTTTTCCAAGAAAATAGAGGAACTTCCCCCAAATTTGGAGGCTTTGTCTCCAAAAACCGCCCCCCCTAAGGCCGAGAACTGGCACGAGTGGTTGAAGGAAGCCACGCAGAGGGACGACCCCGCAAGGGGCGCCTAGGGGACGGAGATCGAGCTGTTGGGAAATGATCATGGTGAATAAGGTAAAGATGGAACATCCTCTACCAAAATCGGCAATCTCTATAGAAATAGCATGAAAATAGCTAGTTAGTAATGGTTAGTCATGTGGGTTTACCCATCCCAAAATCAATATATAGTTGCCTGCGGCAAGCCCGCCGGCCATAGAGAGGTGGCCCCAAGGGAGTGTGCTGTGCACCCTAGGTGAAAGCCCGAGAGAGAAGAAAAGGAGGAGAAGAAGACAGAGCCGTAAAACGGAAACAGCTTGTGTAGGAAGAGCCTGCCGTAACAACCTATTGACTGTATACCAAATTAGTACCGCCCCTAGTAAAGTAGCGCCAGGAACTCTGTATGAGCATTCGGAGCAGACCGCTGCATAGAAGAGGACAGGGTGGAATCGGAGAGAGGTTGCCCCAAGGGAGGTTGATGTGCACGCCAGGTGGAAGCCAAAAAGAAGCAGAAGAGAAGAAGAAGAAGAAGAAGAAGAAGACGAAGAAGTAGAAGAAGAAGAAGAAGAATAAGACAAAGTAGAAGAAGAAGAAGAGGAAGAAGAAAAGGAAGAGGAATAGGAAGAGGAAGAGGAAGAAGAATAATAAGATGGAGAAGAAGAAGAGTAAGAAGAAGAAAAGGAAGAGGAATAGGAAGAGGAAGAGGAAGAAGAAGTATAAGAAGGAGAAGAAGAAGAAGAAGAAGATGAAGAGGAAGAGGGAGAGGGAGAGGGAGAGGGAGAGGAAGAGGAAGAGGAAGAGGGAGAGGAAGAGGAAGAGGGAGAGGGAGAGGGAGAGGGAGAGGGAGAGGGATAGGAAGAGGAAGTACTGGGGGGTGGACACCAATCAGACGAAGCAAAAACGCGTAGCAAGAGAACAAAGGAACAAGTACAAGCCAAGAACAGAAACAGGAAAACCTTTGATGGTTAATAGTGCTTAATAATGGGTATATAACCAGCAATAGATGATGAATGGATAACTGGAATCATGTGGGAAGCCCAATAGTAAATCAGCTTTGGAAGGAATCCTCTATCAATGGATGGCTTAATGGGACATGTTCCACCAATAGAGAATCCAAGACTCTTCATTTTCCGTTGAATAGGTTTGAAAATTAACCAAGAAAAAGATGGAAACTCCTCCATCAATGGAGGTTTTCATGGGATCTGGGACATCCTCTATAGAAATGGCACCTTTCCCATGGCTATGTCCACCGGAGGGCACCTTTGTGGAGCCAGAAATGAAGTCCCAGCAATTCTTGGTTTCGACTTGGAGGTACAGGTCAAGTAATTTAGTTGGATACATATATATATATAATATGTAATATATATATATGTATGGATATATGACATTAAATGTCTATATATCTATACCTATACCTATATCTATATCTATACCTATATCTATATCTATACCTATACCTATATCTATATCTATATCTATACCTATATCTATATCTATATCTATATCTATACCTATATCTATATCTATATCTATATCTATATCTATACCTATATCTATATCTATATCTATATCTATATCTATACCTATATCTTTAATAATTCAGGTATACGCTTTATATCTAATATCAAGACTGCTATATCTATATGCTATTACCCTATAGTCCCCTATATCTATATTCTATTACCTATATTGTGATATCTAATATCTATAATCAATAGTAGCCTATATCCTACTATTCTTATCTATATCATAGGACCTATATCTGGATATCGGATAAAAAATTTCATACTCTTCTATCTATATCTATATCTAGTACCTTCCTATGTCTATATGCTATATCTATATCTATAGCGCTATGACCCCATATGTCTAATATCTTATACCAGTATATGGGCATAATATCTTATCTATGAGCGTACTATATGGCTGATATCTGATATCTATACCTATATCTATATCTATATCGTATACCATATATCTAGTATCTATAGCCATATCGTACATGTCTATATCTATACTATATGTATATCTATATCTATACCTATTATCTGATAATGGCTATATCTATATTCTATATGCTATAACTATAAATCTATAGCTATATCTATTCTATACCTATTATGCTATATCTAATATGGCTACATCGTATGACCTATACCGTATATCCTATTATCTATAAGTCTAGTAGCGCTAAGTGATCTATATCTATATCTATACCTATATCTATATCTATATCTATACCTATATCTATATCTATATCTATATCTATACCTATATCTATATCTATATCTATACCTATATCTATATCTATACCTATATCTATATCTATATCTATACCTATATGTATATCTATATCTATACCTATATCTATATCTATATCTATACCTATATCTATATCTATACCTATATCTATATCTATATCTATATCTATACCTATACCTATATCTATATCTATATCTATATCTATATCTATACCTATATCTATACCTATATGTATATCTATATCTATATCTATATCTATACCTATATCTATATCTATATCTATATCTATATCTATAACTATAACTATATCTATATCTATATCTATATCTATATCTATAACTATAACTATATCTATATCTATAACTATATCTATATCTATATCTATATCTATATCTATATCTATAACTATATCTATATCTATATCTATATCTATAACTATATCTATATCTATAACTATAACTATATCTATATCTATATCTATATCTATAACTATATCTATATCTATATCTATATCTATATCTATAACTATATCTATATCTGTATCTATATCTATATCTATAACTATAACTATATCTATATCTATATCTATAACTATAACTATATCTATATCTATATCTATAACTATATCTATATCTATAACTATAACTATATCTATATCTATATCTATACCTATATCTATATCTATATCTATACCTATATCTATATCTATATCTATACCTATATCTATATCTATATCTATACCTATATCTATATCTATACCTATATCTATATCTATATCTATACCTATATGTATATCTATATCTATA